CCTGACCAACAGCTCTCCTTGTGTGAATAGAGCACGCTCTGCTTCTCTCACGTATCCTAGTCACAGTCTAAGAAACACAGTGAAGCTTAAATTAAGTTTTAGGGGAAAATAATCACTAGTCAATATGAAACAATAATAATAATAATCACTCCTTCTTACAAATGGTCTAGCATAAAACAACGTGATCATTATCCATCATGTCTATTAGTAGCTTAAAATACCTAATTAAAACCAGTAGTGGACTAGGTCTACTGTAGTCTTACCCAGTTGTAAGGTCAAGAGACAAACATGTAGCATTAACACAGTATGAACAATATTCAGGAATTATTTCTTTAAGAACATTATCAAATATTTTACGTGAATGGTAAAATCACTCCACCCACGAGGAAATGTAACTCAGGGTGAGCTAACCTCGGACAAATTAACAAAGATAACTGTAATGATGGAGGTAACGAAGCTCACAATGTTTAGTGAGGTGTTTCTGCCTTATCAGCCAACATTAAGGCAAAGAATATCTTATTTGCCAATAAAATATAATGAAATTCTAAGCTACTAATAACTTAAAATAGTTCCTGCAGTGGATGTTTTCATGCCACAGAGCGACACAGCAAGAGTTCACAGTGAAATTCAGTATGTAAGAGTAAATTTTACATTACACAAGTTATTAAATACTTTGTACAAAATCAGTTTAGTTTTAACAAAGACTAAACTTATGCAAACAGAAGTTAGAATTACATATTCATTCATTCATTCAACCTTCATTTAGACAGGTTAATCCCACTGAGCCTCCAGGACTCATTTACATGAGAGACCTGATTTCAACAAAGAATGATGACAAGAATAGACAATCATAAAAGAGGCAGATAGGTTTTTTTTTTTTTTTTTTTACAAATAAGATGGCCCAAAAAAGTAACAAAAACAGATAGACTGTAAGGCGAATGTAGAAACTAAAAACAGGAACATGTCTGCATTGGTCCCTGCCAGGAATCCAACAGATTCTTAAAGCCACTTAGAGAGGTCAAAGGTCGAGAGCTTCAGGTCTTTTTGTAAGATATTCCAGGAAACAGGAGCGGAGTAGGAGAAGGTCCTTTTGCCTAGTTCAGTCCTCACTGAGGGAACACTGCAGGTAATGATGTCCTGAGAGAGCACGCTGTAGCTGCACTCACACAGAGACATGTAGGAGGAGATGTATGAAGGCAACAGACCAAGAAGTGATTTAAAGATGAAAATGTACCAGTGGGAGAGTCTGCATAAAACACACAAAACAAAACACTGCTAGTTTTAAGCATTAATCTTTAATTTAACCATTGAGCATGATGTAATTATGACAGAAAATAGAATATTTCCTTACAGTTACCTTCTTACAGATGTAATAAACTGTATTCCACATTCTAAACGCTCAGGGTAACACGTGTCTGAATTACATGTTCCCCACTGACAATGTTTAACTATTTTTTTCTGATGATTGTTCACAACATCCCTCTGACCACAAAGTGTTCATAATGCAAAACCCTGACAATGTAGTTGAAGGAAAACCAGGCTGCAGGTAAGGAGTGTTCACTTCAGGACACATTGAGGTCACAGTTTCTGATATATTTGCCGGCTTGATTGACAGGTGGTGTTGAGACTGCGACTCATGCAAAAAAGAAAAAGAAAAGAAAAAATCATAAATTTTACTGGCCTGTTTAAGAGTGTCATCATTTATTCCATATTTATTTCAAATTTATTCAATATTTAAGTGAATCTAAGGTTTGAGAATTGAGTTTCCGTACAAAATCCTAATGATGGTTTCTACATTTTTCAGGGGTGCTGAGTTAAAATTTAGGGGTGCTTGAGCGCCCCCAAAAAGAGGCTAAAATCCCCACTGTGTACAGAGATGTGTGCATGAACATAAAACCTTTGCAAGTGCGTTGTGTGTCAACGAGAAGATTCGACGAGTCTGCTGCTTCCTTAGACAGAGAACTTTACTAATTGGCTTTTCTATTTATGTGAATGTTCCTGTAAAGTGCCCTGAGACAACTTTGTTGTGATATGATGCTATATAAATAAAATTAATTGAAATAGAATTGTCAGGAGAGGAGGGGAGGGACGGGGGTGTCTGTCTTTCTCCACCGCAATGCTACTGCTCAGGGAGCTTCAGTGAGGTGGATTCCTGTGTGAGTGGCATGGATTGTTTATTTAAAATAATCAAGCATGACCAGCTATGTTGTGTGGTCTGGAGACAGAGATGTAGTATGAACATGTGCATGAGTATATTCATAAATTAAACGGATTCTTTCATTTTTCTGGACTGTATATAATGTGCATTGAATAATTAAAAATGTGGACGGAAACGTTAATTATCTTTGACTCACCAACGACAGTGGGTCATTTATTAACAGAATCAAAGTTTAACACATCACACATTTACATTAATTGGCAAAATATGGAGAATAACAACATGGCTAATTTAGTAAGTTTTACACGGAGTAAACAATACGGCGATTGTTTTCTCACTTCCAGCTGTACAACAGACACTTCTAAAAATATCTGGTATGATTTCTACTTGATAGAAGAATTTTAAAGATGGAAAGATGAAGTTTAGAGGGAGAAAAAGATGGATGAGGGAGAA